AAATGCTATATTATATATATATATATATATATATAAAAAATAAAATATATATATAATAAAAAAGAATAAATTAATTGTTACTATATTAAAATTATACTATAAGATTGTAGAGATATGATGAAGATATTTAATATTAACAAATTTATTCTACAGAAATATCCAATAGAACAGATACGCGTTTGGCCCTTCAGTACACGTTCAAATCAAACCTGTAGACCTACGATAATTGAATCGGACGCCGATCTTCAAAAGCCTATCATTGACTGCGCGGAAAATCACAATCCGTGGAACGTTTTTGTTGAACTTGTACCTCCAGACTCTGATATGACAGCGTTACCGCCTTTCGACAAGGACACTGATGTTTTACTCTTTTTTAAACTATACGATCCTAAAAATAAAAAAATTCATTACTGCGGTCATCACTATATGCCTGTTGTAGCTAAAGTCCGTAAGTTAAAATTTTAATGTTTATTAAAAATATTATATACATATATACACATATAATTATACGAAATAATAGTTAAGTACTTCAAAAGATTTTAAGCGATAATTTCTCGCACTAAATCAAGAAAATTTCATATAACTATATGTCTGAAATAATTTTAGTTTCAAGGATACAAGAGTTGAAGACAAATTTTTTTTTTTTTAAATTTTGAAAACCACTTGAATTGTTTTAAGTACTAACTACTATTCTCTATATACATATAGTAGAGCAGTAACTCTGTCAACTTAAAATACCTCTCCTATTTTTAGAGATATAATATATTTATACTGAAGTTGTGTAACATCAAGAGAGGTACAATATGCTAATAATTTTTCTATGGGTGGAGACACTTTGTAGATTTCAAGATTATCTTCATTTTTTAGAATGGAATTATGATTTTCCAAAAAGTAATATGATTTCTATAATTATTCTGCGTATAAAAGTATATTATTTTAATATTTAACATTTTATGTCAACATGTGCCAAAATAAAATATAAAATTTCTCATGATTTTCCAATACTTATACCTTAATACTTTTATATGCAGAATAATTAGAGGAATCATACTAAATTTAAAAAAATCATATTTTATTTTAACAAATAAAGGTGGTTTTGAAATCTTCGAAGAGCCTTCATTCACAGAAAAAAATTATAGTAGCAAAAATGATTGTTTCTTGATGCTATACAACTTCAGTAATTATATTATTTCATATTTCTAAAAATAGCGGAGATATTCTAAGTGGACAGAGTGATTGCCTCACTTTTTATATATTCTAGGTATTATTTGAAAAAAAGCATGTGCAATGTTTGATTTAAGTATAATATATACAATTATTTAGTGTTTTAAAGATGTTTATTAACATCAATAATATTAAATTATTCATCAATTTAATTTGTAATATTACTTTAGTTTGTAACTACGTTATGTAAGATGTTTTATGACAAATTCAATAATATATAAAACGTGATTTTCGATATTCGTTCATGAAATATTGATCACTTGGATTGTGTTATGTGGGTACGAACAGAAAAATAAAAATATCTCCAATAAGTATTTATTACAAAATAATTTAAAATTTGTTAAAATCATCACATATTTTATTAAATAAAATAGCTTTTACTTGAAATTTTTTTATTTAAAAAAGTAACTGACGATGTACATATGTATATCTGAAAACAAATTTTACAGAGGAGCTTATACCAATTTTAAACGAACGCGCCGGATTCCCACCAGATACAGAACTCGCTTTATATGAGGAAATTAAACCGAATTTAGTTGAAAAAATAGATAACTTGTCGGAGCCTTTAGAAAAAGTTCTGGAGGAATTAATGGACGGTGACATTATTGTATTTCAAAAAGAAGGAGACAATGAAATGTATGAACTTCCAACGTGTCGAGAATATTTTAAGTAAGTAGTGTAAACAATTTTTATTGTCAATATATGTATCTTAAGTTACGTCTTTGAATATTATTAGTACAATATGCTTGCTAATCTATTTGCGATTTATATTTCAGAGATCTATTCTATAGGGTAGAAGTAACATTTTGTGATAAATTGATTCCAAACGATCCAGGTTTTACAATAGAACTTTCACTGAGAATGACGTATGATCAAATGGCAAAAGCTGTAGCGCAACGAGTCGGCACAGATCCGTATCTTTTACAATTCTTTAAATGTCAAAAGTAAGAATTAATATTCCTACTCGTCTTTTAATACTGATAATACTATATGTCATAAATAATAGTATTATATTAATAAGATTTTGATTATTTCAAGATGTTTTAGGAGAAAAGGCCTTATTGTGAATTTTTTTTTTACAGTTATAAAGATTCTCCCGGCCATCCTTTAAAGTGTACATTCGACGGCACGCTTAAAGAACTGGTTGCATATTGCAAAACGAAAGTAAAGAAATTATTTTATCAGCAGCTCAGTATTAGGGTGAACGAGCTAGAAAATAAGAAACAGTTCAAATGCATATGGGTAGGACCGTCGCTTAAAGAGGAGAAAGAAATGATCCTTTACCCAAATAAAAATGGTACCGTTGCTAATTTACTTGAGGAGGCTAAGAAGCAAGTAGAATTATCGGAAAATGGTTCAGGGAAATTAAGGATATTAGAAATGACTTGCAACAAACTATCACCTGGCCCTGGGGATGAAACACCTTTAGATCACTTAAACACATCAGGTACCAAATTGTATAGGATAGAAGAAATACCACTTGACGAAGTGAATCTAGCGGAGGGTGAAATGCTAGTTCCTGTTGCACATTTTCACAAAGAGGTTTTCTCAACATTTGGTATACCTTTCTTCTTTAAGATCAAACATGTGAGTGATGTTTTATTTAAATCAACACATAATGTAACGCACGAATGCATCAATAATCCTTGTGTTTGTAGGGTGAACCTTTTCCCAAGATGAAGGATAGGTTGTTGAAAAAATTAGGAGTTCAGGAGAAAGAATTCGAAAAGGTAGGCATCCTTAGCTAATCTTTTTTGATCTTTTATGAGAATTCATAAAAAAACTTTGAAGTTTAAGTTCGCGGTGGTGACAATGGGCAAGCCGCAATTCATTATTGACTCGCCGGACTCTTGTATCAAAATCGAGGATTTCCTTCCCAGATATACCAGTCAGAGTAAGTATAAAGAAACATTTACTTTTCCTTTTGAGAATGTAAAGCAAGTGTCGAATCACATGATCACTATATTTAATATATGGTGTATTGCTGATACGATGCTAATAAAGAATAAATTTTGTAGTCTATCCACTTTTAAACACAGGCACATCGCCACATAGGCCTTGGCTTGGCCTGGAACACGTCAACAAAGCGCCGAAACGCTCTCGCATCAACTACCTCGAAAAGGCCATTAAGATATACAATTAAATTTCCATCATACGAAGAAAAAATTAAATTAGGCAGCCACTCATAATAATTTATACGTATTCTGTATAGTAAGAGAGCGACGTCTGATATATTGAAGGTTGGAAAAATGCGTTCATATTCGTTTCTTCAGCCAGATTAAACATGCAATTTTAATACTGCAAGAATGACATCGAAAGGTAAATCTAGATTGGTATACGATGGAATAAGAAACTATTGTGAAGTGTGCAGTGCTATCATGGAAAAGCGATGATATAGTTCCTCGATTCAAATTTGTAAAAATTTTACGTAATGGCCCAATAGTTTATTTTGGCGTCACTCAGTACGGATTTCCGCCTAGATTCCGAAAACATTTAATTACGAAATGCACGTATATTGTATCTAATATTATTGTCTGATAATTATCTCTAATAAACTAATTTCTTTCTTTTTTTTTTATTTTATTAGGAAACTGAGACTTTAAAATTCCGGTTCATACCCTATCGTATGTAGAAGTACGTGATCGTTACGTCCTAAGAGGTGCGGTATTATGTTCTGCATGATAATATTTAATATTCATGACGCCGAGAGAGCGTTCTTCTTTTATGTTATATTCGAAGATGTTTGAGAGAAAGAAAGATAGAGATTTTCTATTTAAAAAAAGAATAAAATTTTTAGTTTCCATTAAAGGTTTTATTCGAATTTTAATATTTATCGAGTTTATTTAATTGAATTTCTCGAAATGCACATCAAATTTTTCTTAACTTTCTTCGTGTTTTCAAACAAAGCGCGTAGAATTGTGCTACTTTTATTTTACGTCACATTATTTAAAAAATGGAGAAGTTGCACGAACAATATTTCTAAGTTATCTTTCAAATATCCTGAAATATTTTTTTTTGCATTTGAATGTATTTTGTGTTTCCTATAATATATTTTATATCAAAATTAAAAATTTTGCAAATTAACAGCATACGAAATAAGAGATCGATGAAACAAGTGACGCTAACCTAGAACAAAAGAAATTCTTGACGAGATGCAAATGCTTATTATTGTAATATGAATATTTGCGACTTTTCTTGTTTTTTTTTTATTTTAGAGCAAAGTGAACAATACTGCCGCTTTTAGGGAGTGACGTAGGAAGTCATGATTCAATTAATAAGTCATCATAGTATTCTCTCTATTTGATCATATAAATTAATGATTTAATTCTCTATTTTATATTTATAATTTATAACACAGCAAGTATCTCGTGCGGTGAATCACTCACGACAAGGTAACCTGTGTCTTGTGCAAGATCTGTCGTTTGCGGATCCTTATTTATCATTTTCTACACTTTACTGTGATCAACTTAACTTAGCCAACATGTATTGAAAGACCACGCCGGCTCTCGAACATTTGAAATAGCATAATTGTAAATGTCAAGGAAGATGCTATGTGAGCTTTCTACATTACTTAATAAATTTCTTTTTAAGTTGAGGAACTGTTTACTATGGTCGTAAGATTGTAATGAGATCCGTTAAATTCGTAAATTTTGACGTAATTAGTTAAACTATTTAAAATTCTTTTGAACGTTCAAAAATTATTGAATTACAGACTACGAGAACATCGCAAGAGAATCGTTTCGAAGAAATACGAGCAAAATTCATAGTACGAGAATGATATACCAATATACATAAACATGAATTATCTGCTAAGGTTTTAACGGACTTGCGAGGCAATTCATCAGAAGTGATGATGCGTTGTCTGATCTATTAATAATAATATAACTAGAAGAAATCTATAACAGTGGTGTTTGAAAAAGACTGGACGCATAAGTTAAGCAAGAGTGGCACGCACGCAGAATATTTTGTAAAAAGGAATTTTAATGTGGCTGTATAGACTGATCGATAATGGCGTATCTAATTAATCATAATCTCAATATCGTGTATCTAAAGAAAGCTGTTCCAAATGATGTTTTGTGGATGCCAAGTATTTTCCTTTTGCTACTTATTATATACATATACACACGCTCGTGCGCGCACGCACACATTTGTGGATCCATTCAGAATAATTTAGCGGCATGCTTGTTAAGTGTGTTGTCAAGGTGGATGCGAGAAAGAGAGAGATAGAGAGAAACTGTATGTGTGTGAGTATCATAAATTTCAAATTGAGTTGTAAGAAGCATCATCACAGATTTGATTACTGAAGAGATATTTCCCACAAACACAGTTGAGATACAAGTACCTGTCTTTGAATGCTAAAGATTGGTGTTTACAAATCGTTATATTATAATCGCGACTATATTTTTTTCCTTTAGCGCTATTCTTTTTAGGCAAAAGGGATTAATCACTTCACAAAGAGTCTGTCGAATCGCAATTGAAAAGTAAACACTGACGATAGATCTCACGGTGGAAGCAGTAGTAATGATATTTTATTTCTCTCTGCGAGAGAAGAATAAAATAGTAAGGTGGAAATTCTTGTAAACATGAACGTAGCGGAAAATTATAACGAATCATGCATTTTTTCAAATTATTACACATACGTTTGTATGTATATATTTTATATATATATATATATATAACCTCTGAGATTATCGCTAACGGCTATCCTGAAGTCGGAGCTGGTACACGAGACAACAATCGACGACAAAGACGTACACTTCTTTGCAAGTGAAAAAAAAAAGAAAAGAGATCGTGTTGGATCTATCTAAGGAGGCCGCGTTTAAGTTTACATTAATTGTATTGTCGACAGCACCGGGCCTGTAAGTATGAAAAGTGGCTGGCACGAGAGGAAGAAAAACCGGGACAATCCAGCATACGACCGCTACATAATAATAGGTTGTACACCAGATACTTTTGCGTTTTGTAGAGCTGATCTTAAGAAAGAAAACTGCTCAATACTGCGATTGTAAATCTGAATATTTGATAGTTCATTTCTAAGGAGGCGAAACTATTAATTGCAATACAGGTATATATAAAGGAGAATAATAATAAAAAGCAATACAATTGAATACGTCATTATTTTATAACACATTGTTTTTTGGCGAGAAGAGACCCTTTTATAAAACATCATTTGTATTCAAAATGATAAGATCGCTTTACAATAATTGTAAAAATGGACAAAAGCTATCCTTATTCTCCTTTTAATAGTTAGTAAATAGTAAAAAGTGATAAAGGACCCGTGTAAATGAAAACAGGCTACGCATGCGCATTAAATAAAAGCACTTCATGTGCCTTTTATCACTTTTTATAATTATTTACTGACTTTATGAAACATAGTTCTCGTCCATTTTTACAATTATTTTGATGCTATCACATTATTTCGTTTGATTCAAATTATCTTTATTTACAAATGGCACGCAATAAAAATTAACGCATTCTCACTTCTGACGTCACGATTCAATATGGCTGTGATGACTTTTAGAAGCCTTTTAGATGTACACGATATCAGAATAAGAAAAGCGATAGATTTTCATTTTCGTAATCACGTGTTTTGCATAAATTAAATGTTTGAGATCTAATTTTTACGTTTAATTAGCAGGCGTTTACTATAGCTCAACGTATATAAAAAGCACAACGTACGCACACAAGCGTAACATTTAAATTGATTTTCGCCAATATTACATCGGAATTTTCTTACGACTGATCAACTTTCTTTCGCTTGTATCGCAAATATTACGTTATCATGTTGATTTGTTATACAAATAACATTAAGAAATTGGACATTAAAATTAGTTACGTAATAACACGCGTCGTGCGTCAATGATAAGAAAAGTCGATGTTTCACTGCCACCCGCTTTTAATTCCCGAATTTATGAAGATTTCCAGCTTCCATTTAAATTGCACAACTACGTATGAAAAATTAGCTTTGGTATTTACACACAATATAAAGAATGCTTTCTCAGGTATAGATTATCTAGAAGAGCGTATTTAAATTTCAACTATTAAAAGGTATTGAACAATTGAAAGGAATATTAAAATTGATCTTAAAGATCTTTTGTATATTTATAATACATCCTATATATTTTATTCAAATTATGTAAGATTTTATGAACAATTAATGATAACTACAAATAACCTAATTTTATGAATAGTCCTGATGAAATTTTTCTTAGAATTTGTCATAAATATACATAAATATAAATTTTTCAATCTTATGTGAATTTTAAAATTTCTGTATAACTTTTTAGAAAATTTCTCAAATTTTTTTATATGAATTGAATCACTTTGTAGAAATGCAGAGACAGTATACCTTTTTTTAGAATTCTTTATATAAATTCTGAAGTATTCATAGATTTTTAAGATTAATATTATAATTTTTGAAGGAATTTTTATCAAATTTAAAGAAATTTAGGAGATATTTTTCTCAGAAGTTTTCATAAATTTAAAATATAATAAATCTAAGTATGAAATTTTTTTTACAAGTCATTTTGACAAATTTGAAATTAATTGAGACGTTTATTGTATCTCTTTTTGAATAAGGATTAAATATAAAAATGGGGAATGTGTTGAATTAATTGACTAACGTTTTGCGTAATTCTTGCATGAAGAATTACAAAACTTTCCGCGTGCTTTAAAGGGTCACCCTTCACCGAATGCGATCTGGATTAAAAAGAACTACTAGTTACTTTCACTTCGACAGGAGAGCATAGGCTATATCGTGCTGTTCTTTTTCTGCTATAAGTCTCGTTTATCAAATACGTTCGCTGCAGTTCATGTGCACTATCGATCCATACGTTATATCGAGCCACGTTGACGATCACTTGGAACTTAAGATCATTGGAACTTAGAAGAGATAACAGCAGTTAACAACTTATTACATTGTGTTCTGATCATTCTCGTGCGCGTTGCGTCGACAAATAAACGCCTATTGTGCGCAATCGAAGAAAAAAACCAGATCGCTTTATCAGAACATCACGTTATCAGTGTTACGTTACCAGAACGATGTAATTTCTTCCAACTCCTCGTTCGCGAGTGTCTTCTGAACGGACCTATCATCTGTTGATACGCGTAATATCTTCTGATCATATTCTTCCTAAAACTTTCCCTAATTACAATCCATGCATTCTTTCCTTTTTCGTTTCTATTTTTTTTTAAATTCTATAAATTTTTTTGTTTCTTCTTTTGGACAGATACTATTCATATGTCTCTGTTCTTTTTCTGTTTAATTTCAACATTTTTTCTATTTTAAGACGTTAAATCGAACGTGACTTTTTTGTTCTTTTCATTACAATAGAATAGTTATAGATAGACTGGCGGATTCAGAAATTTTTCAAGGAGCTATTGGTGCACGGCAATCAAAATGTTTTTTAATCAAGCATGAAAACTAGAATATTACAGTATTATTTAAAAACAAAGAAGAATCAAGCATGTCTAATAAGAGTACAACGCGATTGATAGTGTACAAAAAAAAGTCATACAAAAACTTTTAAAATATATACATTATCTTACCAGAAAGAGATGCGTATTATAGTGCAGTTGAGGTGAATATAATTTTACATTTATTATAATATTTTAAAATTCCATCGAATTTGCGAAATTCAATTTTGATACAATTTTTTTAGGAAAAAGGCAAAATAAAAATTTGTTTTGACATCTCACCTAATGTGTGCTATATACAGTGCACTGTAGAGGTGCACATAATTTTATTTATTACAACTTTTAAAAAATCAATTTGCAAAATCCGGCTTTGTACGTGTCTTCGCAGCTTTATAAAAAAAGAAATCAAAAAGGTCTCATGACGTAATTGTTTCCGGGAGATAAAAACCAGCATAAAAATATGTATCTACATCGTAAATTAAGAAGTATATCATTTTGATTATTACAATGTTTTTAAGAGCGAAATTATACAATTCGACTTTAATATATTTAGCTTCTTAAAATAGCCGAAAAACAAGTTTCATGACAAAATATTTCTTCTACACAAGATAATGTATCTATAGTAAAGTATAATAGAGTGCAGATATGTAGCTGCACCACAAATAAGGTGTAAATGAATTGGCGTGTGTCACTTTTGTCGACTGTTAAAAAAGCGTAAAAGTTGATATACAACTGAATATCAATTCTAAGTCAATAGAAAGTTTTTAAAGCGGAGAATATTTTGAACGCATCGTAAGCAGCGCACTCGCGATGTCACAATCACGTGGTCGAGTACGAATGAAGTACGAACCGCAAACGCCACGCGTTTGCGCTTTGTATCAGTTTTTCGCGATATCACGCGATATGCGTTAATCTCGCGATTCGTAGCGGTCATGTGTTAACAAACAGCCAGGGACTCATATCCTCGGTTTCTGCAAACAGAATTTAAGGAATTGTGTCCGATCCAATCTCGCATAGAGACATCCAGTATATGTAGATATATCGAATAGCTGTAAGCTGTAACCAATTCTAACCGTTACCGGTGACTATCTACTCATCACGCACACATACGCCGCACACGTGCGCAAAGATGATTGGGAAGTGGTCAAGTTTGAATCGGCGCGGTTTTCGATTGGTTGAAAACTTGCTACGCGCCCAGAGCCGACATATAAAGAACTTCGCAAATCTAGGACCCCTCGCAGACACTTGTAGTCTTCCATATAGTCGAGGCTATCATCTTTCTTCTGCGCGTTACATTCCGGAACGAGTAAGTGATTGAGTATTTATATAATATTATTAATGATATTTTTGTTTGCGGCATAGCGATTGATATGCAATTGTCCGCTATTATCATATGACTTTGACATTAAGCTGATATTACAACAAATTTTTCAGAGAGGCTAAGAGAGAGAGAGAGAGAGAGTTACGATATTTTTCAAGAATAGAAACCTATTAATTGCTTCTATTTTTCAAAAGAATAACAAACGCTGTAGTCGCAACTTTTGTGTAACTTTTGATGGCTCGAGAACATTATGTGTTCTTCTAGCTTTAATTGCACTTGATTAGCATCGCTAGTGCCATAGTTGAGCTGATCAGCTGACACAAAGTGAGAGGATTAAGATTATGAACGATGAAAAAGAGACAATATAATTTATATGAATTATTAAATAAAATAAAATTTTCGGAGTTCACACAACACAGATATCTTAGTCTCTGAAAAATTAATTTAAATTTTTTCTTTAAATATAAATTTATAATTAATTTTAACTTTGTTAATTTTAAATGAATAACTTTTAACTTCAGCTAATTCTTTTGTAAGAAACATTAACTTGAACTTTAGCTTCTATTTAAGTTGATATTTTTTTGAACGTTAATATTTCTTTTTTTTTAATTTTAAATATTAGGCGATTAGAAAAAGTTTAATAATCTCATGTGCATAATGCTATGCTAGTACAAAGCTATTTGCATTTCTCTCGAGCTTAAAAAAGAAAGAGCTTAAAAGCATTGCTTCGTTATAATTAAAAATAATATTCAATACACACTCACACACATTCTTTTACGATAATGAATATATTTATGTAATATTCACTATCTTTATCTAAATTTCTTGTATAATTCTTTCTATTTTCTTTAACTCGTTAATTTTTTAAACAAATACATTTTCATATAAAAATGTAGCAAAAAATAATATATTTATAATGTTTTATATATAAATTTTTACAAAATATTAAATTTATTCGATATTATATATTGTAATTGTTTTTTCGTTTAGAGTAATCTAATTTTTTAAAAATTACATCTTTATTTAATATAAATAATATTTTTTTAAATTAATTTAACTTAATTTAGTCTTAACTTTCAATTAAGTTAGTTTTATGTTTATGCAACTTTTAACAGAATTAATAATTTTTTAGGCTATTAATTTTAATTTAATTTAGTTAAAAAGAAGATTATTTTTTTTATTCAACCGTGTATCGCACAAAAAGATTATTTTTCATTATTTGCAAAATGTCTATAAACGAATTATGTTCGATCAAAATAGTTACATTATTACATAAATATGTTTATCGCTACAATTACACCACGCATGGGGTTATCGTTGGAAGTATGACCTCTACTAAAGTATATATAAGCTATTGTATTACATATACATGTCTACTTGTTACATTGCATATCGGATTGCAATTGAAGTAATATGTTCGTTTTTCTTTAAATTAAAGAAAAAGTGTTGCCCACTGAATTTCTCGTACAACTCTATTTCCTTAAATTTATCGCAAAGTATCATCAGATCGCGGAGAAACAATACTGCATACTGTTTAATAGTTAATTATTACTTAAATAATAGTTGCAATTTTTATAGCTTGTTCATATGATGTGATGATATTAATAGATATTAATTATTATATATTAAATAAATATGATATATATCAAATCTAATATATAAATGATTAAAATTAGTTATAAAATATAAACTAAAAACTGTTATGATTGACAGGGCATGGCAACTATACTTAATACAAACATTTGGGAGAGTGATCCTGAACTTTTCGAATTGATGAAGAAGGAGAAGAAACGGCAGGAATCTGGGTTGGAACTGATCGCGAGTGAAAACTTCACGTCTCTCAGTGTACTTCAGTGTTTGAGTTCATGTTTACATAATAAGTACAGCGAAGGACTGCCTGGTCAAAGGTAAAGTTACGTTTCATGTTCTTTTTACTCGTTTAGGAATTACTTCTATTGTTATAATACTCGTAGATATTACGGTGGAAATGAATTCATTGACGAAATTGAGCTGCTGGCACAAAAACGCTCTTTAGAAGCCTTCAATCTAGATCCTGAGCAATGGGGTTGCAATGTACAACCCTATTCGGGAAGTCCAGCGAATTTTGCAGTATACACTGGCCTATTGGAGCCTCACGAACGTATAATGGGCTTAGATTTACCCGATGGTGGTCATCTTACTCACGGTAAATGCGAATAAATCTTATAAATACTGTACCTTATGTGCCAGATTCTATTTGATAAATTGCTTTTGTGTGTTATAGGTTTCTTCACGGCAACCAAAAAAATCTCTGCTACGTCCATCTTCTTCGAATCGATGCCGTACAAAGTTGATCCTACGACTGGTTTGATTGACTATGACGAACTCAAGAAACATGCCAGATTATTTAAGCCGAAAGTCATTATAGCTGGAGTCTCTTGCTACAGTAGATGTCTGAACTATAAACGTTTTCGTGAAATTGCTGATGAGAATAACGCTTACCTCTTCAGTGACATGGCTCACGTCTCCGGATTGGTTGCCGCCGGATTAATACCCAGTCCTTTCGAATTTAGTGACGTCGTTTCGACAACTACACATAAAACCTTACGGTATAAAACAATTCTCTAATAATTTTTATAGCAAGCATTTTTCTCATCATATAGTAATTATAATAATGACGAGATATCTTGTCTGTTTATTTTTCAGAGGGCCGCGCGCTGGCGTTATTTTTTTCCGAAAAGGCGTTCGAAGCGTTACGAAGGACGGCAAGAAAATTATGTATGATATAGAGAATAGAATAAATCAAGCAGTTTTTCCGGGTCTTCAAGGTGGTCCGCATAATCACGCTATCGCCGCTATAGCTACAGTTATGAAACAAGCAAAAACACCGGAATTCTTCGAGTATCAGAAGCAAATAGTGATTAACGCGAAAAGATTGTGCGCCGGTTTGCAAGAGCGTGGTTATAATATCAGTACCAATGGCACGGACGTCCATATGCTATTGGTAGATCTACGATCCTCGAGGATAACTGGCTCGAAGGCAGAAAAGATTTTGGAAGATATTTCTATCGCCTGTAATAAAAATACTGTTCCCGGTGACAAAAGTGCATTGAATCCTAGTGGTATCCGTTTAGGAACACCTGCACTCACCACCCGCGGCTTAGTCGAGAAAGACATCGATAAAGTCGTGGACTTTATAGACAGAGGTATGACAAACATTCGAACCTCGCAAAAACCCTCGTTAGTGCTCAATGATTTTAATCATTAAATTACTAAGACTATTTAGATTCTCATCCAAGTGCCACTCAGGGCTGGCAAAATATATAATTAAAGTATTCGAAATACAAAATATATGTAGTTTTCAAATACAAATATTTGAAACATACCGAGCCCTGGTGCCACCCAGATATTATTCTTGTTTTCCAAATAAGGATGACATTATATCCAGGTAATACCTGGATGAAAATCCCAACACGCTTTAGAATATTATGATTTGCATTTATTTTTGCGACATTTGTATATCATAAGAAATAATTTTTGAGCGCCAACGAGTTAAACATTGTAAGTTAATCATCCGTTAGCAATGTAAAATTATCCTTCGTCCGTAATTTGCATCTTCAAACTTCAGTGCAGATTTTTATATTGTTTCAAAGTGTACATATAAAAATCTGAAAAAATTCTGACATATTTGTGAAATATTAACAAGTTTTTACCATCAAAGAAGTTTGATTGTATATTTTACTTATTTTATAAATTTATTTACCAAAATTTACAATAAAGAAATCGATTGTGCCTTTAAAATTCAACATTGCTAGTAGGGAGCGGAGAGGAGACATGTGTATAGTATTATACATAACATGAGATTATAATTAATTCAATACCATTTCTTTATAGGATTGAAACTTTCTAAGGAAGTGACTGCTATCTCCGGACCGAAACTAGTTGACTTCAAGAGAGTATTAAGTACCGATGAAAATATTAAAACAAAGATTGCTGCTCTAAAAGAAGAAGTGGAAGTTTTCTCGAGGCAATTTTCGATTCCTGGTTACGAAACTTATTAAGCATTATGAACATACTTAGCTCAATGTAAATGTTTCATAATGTTTTCATTGCCATTAAATATATATATTTTTAATTATTTTTATATTTTTCTATGAGCAGAGATGAGAAAATGGAAATAACGTTTTATTTATAACGTCGTTTTAGATGTCGATTACTGTTTCAGCATTAAAAAAGCAATAGAAAAGTAACAAATTATTACTTTTTAAGTAACGATAACGATATAACAAGCAGCGGAAACTAGTTACTTTCAAAAAGTAAAAACACTTTCCATTCTCTCTACAAGAGATCTATACGTTATTTGTATATCCACGTTGTTCGTGAAATTCAATAACGCAGCACATTCAAAATCATATTTATTATATTATGTGTTGCCTTACTACGCAATAATTTGAAATTTTTGGACGTCTAAAATTCGATTTATAAAACGATTTCCCTGTAATCGTAAAATGATGTCTTAGATGTTTACTGTTGTTATTATTAAAATAATAAATTTGTGAATACAATCTTTTTTTTTTATTAAAAATAGCCATGTGAAATATATTGGTCAAAATGAGTTGAGATTATGTGACAGTCAATTTTAATCTCTTTAGATCGATACATTTTCGAAGAATATGTTTACAAATATAATATTTTATATAATTATATATATGATTTTTTATTTTTTTAATAGAAACTATAGTATAAAAACAAATTACGTACTTTATAATTCAATAACTATTTTAAAAGTATCAATACTATAATTACTATTATTGCCCAAAATATATACAACTAGCATCAAAATAAAAATTGTCTTTTTTTATATCTTTTATCCATAAAAAACACATGTTACTGACAAACCTGGAACATGTGACAATTAATCCTAAGTGCAAGACTAATTGTAACATTTTCGCAGTTTAATTAATCTAACAAAAAACCGTGTATTCTGGTGATTTAGGAATTAGTTCATATAAATACAATTAATTTTTTAAGACAGAGAAAGAGAGAGAGAGAAACGTGAAAAGAGAATACCTGAATCATGGAGATGTAAATTATTAAATTGTATACAGAGATGTATAATGAGACAAGAAATGGCAACAGAAACATGGGTCGTTAACAGAAATAGGACTAGATAAAATTCTTTAAAAAATATTTTGTTTATCTGTCATTTTCAGGCGAATTATTTATACTGTTCAAAAATATTCAAATCAGATTAGTATCTAGTTAGAGAGAGTATGGAGTTTATTAATAAAAAAAGGAATTTCAATATTTTATAAATAAATATTATCATTATTATAAATAAATCTGTAAAGTAAATAATAGTAAAACACAAAGACTTCGTAGTATGAAACACATATGTATATAT